TGTGATAAACAATTGGCAACCAAACGGTGGCTCTCCCTTTACATTCGACGGATAATGTGTACAGGTATTTAATGTAATTTTTTAGCAATTTGTTTTTGTAATTCATCCAAAGCGATATAAAATTAAATTAATCAGTCAATAAGTATTAACATTAGATTGTTTCCTCGATATGGCCATGGTGGTCATCAGTGACTGGTGTACCTCAAATGTTTAGAATAATTAAAATAAAATAAATGTTGTCAACTAAAAATTTTGAACGTCATAGCTAGATAGACATTATTCTCGATTGAAAAAAAAAAAATTATAAAGCATAATACTACAATCCTATGCTTCAAATGTATTTCCTTGTGGCCGCCTGACAGCAACCTGTAAATCTGACGCGACAGTGAACGTGTTAAGAAGTAAATGTTGTTCAAATTATGTCGTGTTTGATATCATTCTCACCAAAATCTCACCAACATGTGAAAAAAAATTCCAGATGAAAAAAAGGAAAATTAAAGAAAGTATATTTTTCTATTATCATTTGTCGAGCCGTGTAATCTCGTAAAGGAAACCGACTGGTGTAGCGTTACACGCTAGACTGACTGCGAGGGAGATAACATGGGCGTAGCAATGACGCAGACCTAGATGTAGGACCATCTATACTGTCACTTGTAGAATCCAAACTTACTGACTCTTGTAGAGAATTTACTGTATTGCCTTGGCAATGCAGGCCCGCGCCCCCACTTCCTGGAACTTTCTCTGGGAAAAGGGGCTACTTAACGGAGCCCCGAAAAAGGCACGAGGCTTTTTGTCGTAGACTTTCTTGCTACGTGCATCGTATCGCCTATACATTTTAAAATTAGTTTAATCGTTATAGTTAAATAAATAAATATATTTTTGTTAAGCAACTTTCGCGAGTAATTATTTTACACCACGTCACTTCCAAACTGATAAATAAATTAATACGAATCTACATTTCGATAGTACAGTTAATTAGATATCGTTGAGTTGGGGAAAATGTTTTCTCCTACTTTTCAGGGAAATTTAAAAACAAAACTTTAGTAGACAATGCATAAGATATTTTCTTCAATCAACTTTTGTCTCTGAAAAATTTCTCATTTTTTCAGAGAAAATTCCTCATTTTTTCGGAGAAAAATTTGTTTAGATGGGTTTTCCAAGGCTTACAAATTTTCTATTTCTTCCCATTAAGAGTACTCTGCAAGAATTTAAAGAGATGAAAATTTGACGAGGCTAAATTTCATACAAACTCCATCAATTTTTAGCAGGTTAGTCACATATTTTTCTAGCTTTTACAGTATTTTTATCTTTCCCCTTCAAGTTTATACTGAACACGATAAATAGAACCACTCTTCACGCTTTGGTTTTCAAACGACACAAATATCGACTTTCAGATTTTCTCCGTGTTCGTAAAACTGTCGGTATGTTTACTCATGTATCGCAAAACAAAAACCAGAAAACCTTTCGACCAATCTTTTGAAACGTTTGAATTCAAAAAATCATCTAGATCTTCGCTACATTCTCCTAAATGTTTCCCAAATTTATTCACACCGAATACATTTAAGTCCCTGGCAAACATCCTCTATACATCGCGCATTTACTACTATCTTTACTTTGGTCCTTCGAGAAACCTGTAAAACGCGTCGTAAAAAAGAATTTTACACTTTTATACGATCCCATATCGCATTCCTTTTGCAAATTCTTAAACTACTTTCTTCTTTGAAAGAGTCAATAGAAGAAGAAAGGGGGGAGAGACGGGGGGGCATAAAATACGTTTAGAAAGCACTTTATGCATCCGTGAGGATGGAAGCGGAAGAGAAAAGCGCGTTCGTTATGACACGAAGAAAGAACAGAAACATCGGGAATTATGCTTCACTTACATAAAACTTCGATCGTCGTCGACTCTGTCATCGGTTTTTGGTCCTCGGTACGTGTGACCGAGTTCTCGGCGTAACACTTGAACGTTCTTCCGTTGTCGTACTCGGATGCCGTGAAAGCCAGATAACTTACGGTCTCTGACGTACCGTCAACCTGCGAACAGAGAGCGCGAAAGAACTGTTAAATCATCGATTGCGTAATTTCTTAACCCCTTAATGCTCGCGTTTCTCTTAATCAAATTTTGGTCGATAATGAAGGAATTTTTTTTTAAGAAAAATAATAGAAATATAATAATAATATTAAAATAGTATAAAATAATAATAGAAAAAATAGCAGAAAATTGCACTTAGACGATAAACTGAACACGAGAGACACGAGCATGAGCGTTAACCCTTTCATTACTATTGGCGTCTATAAGCGTTTTGAAAATTTACGCACACTGTACAGTTCGCGGCTTTTGGCGCACTTCTAGTTTTAATTTTACCTTTCAAGTATTTCCACCTTAATTTAACGAAACGAATTTCAAAACGATACGGCCCAAATAAGAAATTTCGCAGCCGTGGTTAAAAACATGCCGTCAGTCACCCGCGTTGCGCATTAAAATCTGCCGTAGCGAAAGGGTTAAGTTGTCAAGGGAAACGAGGAGTATGCGAAACACGAAGTCTCGACCAAAAGTGTCAGGTGAATTATTTGAAAATATTTTTGTATCAGGATGAAATCACTCAAAGTATGAAAATGCACAGCGCAATTATTCGAAAAGCATTTCGACCAATAAGCTCAATGGGCGAACGGTGTTCTCCGCGGTTCCTAAGCAGCAATTTCACTTTGAACCGGAAAATCGAACAATCCAATCCGCGGGTTTCACATTTTTTTTCTTTCTTTTTCGAAATTCGATTGTGCCTCGTGTGGCTGTAGCAGAAGAAACGAAAGTTGCGTTTGTTGTCTGGTCAAACACAAACGCGACGAACAAAGGAGTGATAAAAAAAGAAAGGAAAAAGAAAAAAGAGAAAAATATGAGAGTCGCCGCAAAGCAATTTGGATATACGTGGGGTTTGCGAAGCCATCAGTTTAATTATTTCACGGTTTTTCACACCCTCGTTTCGATTGTTCCCTACGATTGGGTCTGTCGCTAGGGAAAAGTACTTTCTTCGTTAGGAAGAAGAACCTGCACGCCCCACAGCGAACAATGAGTTAATCAATCCTTGTGCAATCAGCGGCTGATCCTTTGAGCGACACCGCTGATACATCCGTACGAATGGCACAAAAGAATTGGGCGACGATAGGAAATCTATGGGAATAAAATTGAAGCTCCATTTGTCGCTGTGCTACTGTGCTGATGCGACACGACGTAATTTCCTTGATTTCCGTCGCTTTTATATATGTATAACTGTGTGCCTGGGCGTACACGTATGTTTAATTGGATTTTCTGCCGTTCCGTAAAAAATCTGAGTGAATTTCATCGAAAGTATTACTTCTGAATTTTCTTTGCTTTTCTATCTTTCTTCATTTTTTTTTTTTTTTGTGAAAGGGCTTCTTGTGATGTTCGAAATAACACTAGTGAATTAAAACGAATGAAACTGGAGTTAAAAAATCTGAGTGAATTTCATAGAAAATTCTTTGCTTTTCTTTCTTTTCTCATAAAAGTGCTTCTTCCGATATTCGAAAAAAAAACCGAATTGTAACGAACGGAACTGCAGTTACTTCGATTCATTTGATAATCAAAGCGATCGAAGTTGCAACTTTTTTCTATGTTTCTTTTCGAAAAATGCTTCCACCCTTGAATTCTCGAAATGAAAGCAATCAAATTGGAGTTTTCTCCGATAACCTTTTTTCTTTGGCGGTTTGGCTTGCAGTTTACTGTAACTACCATTATAGGCTGTTTTCGTAGTATGTATTATTCTTGTTACGATTACTGCTTTTAATATCTGTATTATTAGGTTGATGCAAATGAAATGCGCATAAACATACACTTAGGTTGTGATTTCAATGTTAATTCCTGCATTTAGATTTATTTATTATATTTCTGTCGTTATTTCTAATAAAGAACATTACTTCAGGGACCGAGTGACAGTTCTTAAGCGATGTCGTGACCAAAAATCGGCGCGTGACAAAAGTGAGCGAATGCGGGTACAAATCTGTGATCGAGTGTGACAGTGCGCAAGTGAGTACGAAAGACAAGAGCGAAGAGAGAAAAGGATACACGTGCCAACAGCTTTTCGAAAGTTTTTCCTGCATGACTCAAACCTAGTATAACTAACAAACCATCAAAAATTAACACTACTATCTCCAGGTAACAAATAGGTTACAGGGCATCCAAACCGCTCCTGGTCCCGTACAAAACAACTCTTCAGAAAATCAACAACAAAGAGAATAAGAAAAAAGGATTGCAAGAGCGAATATCGAAGACGCCCGTACAAAACAACTCTTCAGAAAATCAACAACAAAGAGAATAAGAAAAAAGGATTGCAAGAGAGAATATCGAAGACGAAGGGTGTTAATGCCTGTGGTTGTGGCGATGAACTTTCGAGCTTTGTGGATGTTTGCACGATGTTGTGCCGTCTAGATACTGGTTCGAAGGACCACCCAAATGATTGGGACTTGTAAAAACTAATCTATTCCTATCGCGTGATGTGAGCTGGTTGCTCCTTGGTTCTCCTTGTTCGTGGTGGTTGAACGACTACTCGACGACTCAACTCTCCGACGTCGCGTCTCGGACGTCCGTGAGAGGGATTTTTGTTGGGACACGCTGATTGGTTAATGGTTAACGATTGCATTTGCCAATCAACGTGTCTAATATCGTCTTTACCGCCCTTCCAGTGCGCCCTTAGCGCGCTGTCACCTTGGAAGGGTGAGAGACGGTCGCGAGGGGTGGTCCCAAAAATCTGGAATTTCCTCCGGGTGACTAATCGGCAAGCGGACCGTTACATACAGATGTGCCGTTCGGAAATTCGTGGTTTATGGTATGTTCGTAGGCTATTGAGCGCGAGGGACACAAATTACTAAAAATCTAGCAAAGCAATTCTAGCGACCCTCGCAGGAGGTAAGGAGACCCGTGCAAGCAGTAAACGAAAATCCTCAACTCAAAAATAACCGTTCCCGGTCGATCGTGCCATAAGCCGTTTCTACAGAAAACCTAGCAAAGGGTGTCTAGAAATAATCCTGTATTCCTACCAGAAAACAAAGACTCCTTAAGATCAAAATTGGCCACACAAATCTTACCCACCGATACCTCTTAAACAGGGCTGAACCCTCGACATGCGAACAGTGCACCGTTCATTTGACGGTGGAGCACATTATCATTAACCGCATCGATAGACAACAATTCGGCATAAGACTCACCTTGTGCAACAACCGGAGGGACTGCAAATCGATTCAGAACTTACCGAACTACTTGTATAATAAACTGTGAACGCAGACGTCAAGTCGTTGATAACCCACAAAAAACAAAGACTCCTTAAAAATAATATCTCTATGCAGGTACATATATCGAAGACGAGCAGAAAGAAAGAAAAACTCAGAATGGAAACTGTCCAAGCAGATCCACTTAATCTCGCGTATAGGCCCACCGCCGTGTTTGCATCGACGAGCATTTGCGGCACGTAATTACTTGGCTCTATGTAAATTCTGTCTGTTGCCACGTACACCGCCGTCATACGATTCGATCGTTACGTCACTGGTGCCATAATCAGCTACTCGGTAAACAATGCTAATTATGATACCGCGGGATGGCCGTGCTCGGACACAAAACGGCAAGCGCTAGAAATACAAATCTATAATCGTGATAATGCGACTCGCGTCCCGGACCCGCGCCGATTAACGACTCGTTAAATCCGAACGCGACGCGAACCACCCTTTGGCCGCGAATGGAAAATGGAATTTGCTGCGCGAACCTTGCGGAAAAATCTTTCGAAATCGGATTTCGAGTCATCCGTGTGTATGTTGGAAATTTCGAGACCATTTTCGATATTACAAATTGATTTTAGTCTTTCCATTTTCTCCTTTCTTTTGGAGTTCGTCGAATTTTCCAGGGTGAAAAAGCTTTGTAGGTGGATGATATCGATTCTTGGTCGGAGTTTTGCTTGGAAATTGCCGGGGTAGGAAGTAATTTGGATAAAATGTTTAATTTAATGCGAGAACGTTCGAACGAAGTTTATTTATCAGCACAGGAGAAATGTTTAATTTTATTTCGTATAGATCGATAGAACTCGTTGGGAGAATTGAAACTGTTTTAACGACTGTATTTCTGGTTAGCTGGTACCGAAGATATTTAACTTTCTCATTTGTAATTTAACAGTTCATCGTGAATGTAACACAGTAATAGCCTGAATTAGACAAAAGGACGTAGTCTTTTGTATCCTTCAATTTACTAATTACTGGAGTGCGGATTTGTACGCATTTGTGGAAAATTTGAAGACACAAAAATACACGGAATACACATACTAAGCAAGATTATATAAATAAACTGGAAATAATCCTCGTTACAGTATTTAGCGAATAAAACAATTGCCTATCTGGCTTCTATTTTTTAAATTATACTCATAAAAATCTGCAGTCTACTAATTACAATTTATTTGTATTTAAATTATACTTAAACAGCCTACCTAATTTTTGCAGTTTAAAGGGTGGAAATAATATATGTAGAAATACTAGAAATAATAGTTTCTCATACATTTCATGTGAAATAATGTATCATCCTATTATTACAGTTAAAATTTATTTAGTGTTCAGAAATTTTTTTGCAACTACCTTCTGTTCATAACAAAAATTACTATCTTGAGAATGATATTCTTTCTATTTCTAGTTTTTAACGGGTTAACCCAATTCTCCAACTGTTAGCAATTTCACTGGCGAAACTTTCTCACAAAACGTCGAACCGATTGAATGGCAATATCATTTTCAAACAGAACCACAATTATCCGGTTTCTGCGTTCAATGTTCTCCCCTATAATTTCGTCGCGTCGCCTACACCACGGTCGCGCCTTTACGCAAACAAACGGTGATTTGGTAATTCGTTAATTACGCGAAAAGGACGTCCACGGTTTCTAGCGCATCTATCACATCGCGCGCAATATCGTTCAGCGTGGTGAAAATTTAGGAGGCAATTACTCGTAATAGGGCAGCCGTGATCGTTTTCCTAAAATAAAAAAAAAGAAAAACGAAAGAAAGAGAAGGGAAAGAAAAGCGGTCGACTAAGTAAGACGATCCCGATTTCTTATTCGGCCGTCTAAAGTTGAAATGCCTTTATAGCATCGGATATTGCCATAATGGATTTATGATGGCAGCCAGCCGTAAGGATTCCCGTGTACGTGCACACACGCGTTATTACAGCGTCGCGAAATGACGCATAATGATTTTCCGATGCGACAAGCCTGGAACACCTTATTCATCTGTGAAATCACTTTTTCATACGTGACAAGTGCGCCGGGCCGATTCCTCTGCGTTGTCGTATGAATAATCGACGTTAGATTGCCCGAAAGTTCGCGCGCTTTCACTGCGAAACGAAAGTTACCCGAAGTTTCCCACCCAGCTATAGCGCGGATAAAGTGTATTATTTTAACCGATTCGGAAGTGTGCGAGAGGTCGTTTGATTTTCGCATCGATGTACAGAGGACGGGTGTAATGAGGTTGAATTGATCGAATTTGCCCCAGTGAAACTCTGTGTCTGTGGTGAAAATGAACGTGTCATGTTTGTCTCGTGATATGTACCGTACTTGCTATAATATAATGTATCGCTGATTGGTTGATTGAGCGATTTTATCGCGTCAAAGGTAATTTTAGATAGGCGTACTATGGTGTATTATTATATTTGCTGATTGTTCTGTTCTACGAGTGATTTTTGGGCAGAGTGTCATTTTTGGCGGGAAAAAGTTTACGTATTCGAAATTTAAAAAACACGGAGAAAAGTCACTTTCTTGTTTTCGTAAATTTCTTTTTTATGTTGGATGAAATAATTAAGGTACATTTGTGTATCGATACTCTTTATGTGAATCAGCTGATATAACTGATGTTGCTTTACGTATTTTTAAATAATGTACATATCTTATACGATCAGATACAATTTTTGAAAAATATGCAACTTTTTAGAAGTAAACAGATTTAACAGAAGTAAAGATTCGTTTATCAAGAATTCACCGTGACACAATTTTTAAGCTGTTTTATTTCTGTTCAATGAGACTTTTTAAATTTACCAAAATTCTTCAAAATCATTGTGACCATCGAACCTATTTCTTCAAATCTCTGTTTTTACGAAATCCTACGAAATGTTCAAACATTTCTTTACTAAAATATTAACAACAAATTTGCTGTCTATAAAAATTTCAGGCAACCCAATCAACCAATTTTTCCAAGTATTTTTAAACTGCAATTCTAAAGTAACGTTAAAACTCTAACTGTGAATGTTTGAAGTTAGCCCAACTTGACGAAACGATTCCTACGTTAACTTCAAAAGCTCGCAAACTTCGTTCCGGCAAGTATAAAATATCGCATTAGGATTTTTCAAAGAACAATGAAAAGTTTGATCGCAAAATAAACGCGAGTAAGACCGTAAACGAGACGAACGCCGCGACTAATCGAATTAATTCGAGGCGAACGATCTGAAGGAATCGCGAGAGCCGAAATTCGCTCGAAGTATAACGAAAACGTCCTTCGTATTTGAATAATTGCTTTCTCGCTCCAAGTATTACCAACTGCGAATTCTGTTTATTCGTCGACCGGAGTAGTTTATTGCTTGCGAACTTGCTGCAAGAGACATCAAGTCGGCTTACACAGCGAGCACGGCACTTTGCTACTAAAAATATGCGTTCGAGCTGCCGTCCAGGCGTGACTTTGCCAATTGTGCGTTTCATAAAAGACGGAGGTTCGTGGAAGAAACGGTGTGCGATCGTTTTACGAAGCAAACGATGAAATAACGATACGTCGGTTAAATGTTACAGTTACGCCAGTGTTAAGGATACTTAAGTTAGACCAGGTTTACGATACGGACGCGACTCTCTGCTATTTTTCAGATTAAGGTTTGAATACGCGTTTAATGTTTTCCTCAAACCTCTCATAAAAGCGGAGAATTTGGAGTTTTCTTCGTGCATCTCAATAGAAATTGACGTATCACAAACCCGCGGGAACCCAGGCACGTTCTCGTGAGCGAGCGGTACCGTTACCCTGGGTTTTTCCCATAAGCTCAGGTGACGCGTACTTCACGCAAAACACCCCCTCCTTGAGGGTGAGTGATTGGCGTTGGGCGGTGACCAAGGCCCGAACGTGAGTGGGAGTCTTGGCCTCCCATCCAAAACTCACCCCCGTCAAGGGACCGAAACGCGACCAGCAAAGGGGAAATGCGAGGGCTGAACGGGGCAACGCTCCAACGAGACAAGGAGAACAAAAAAGGTTAATAGCAAAAAGTTCAAGCGATCACACAGTCGCTACATTTTCAATCGATTCTCGACGACGTGTCAGAATTGAACAGCTAGAACTGTAGAATTGAAGAAAGAAAAGTCCTTTGTTCCGACGTTTCAATACTTCGAAAAATATTTTTAAATTTACCATTCTGTTAAATTAAGGTGGAAATGCAGTAAGGGCAAAAATCAAGGATTAAATTAAGGTGAAAGTGTGTTAAAAATCGCCAAAGGTGCAATATTAGAAAATTTTCAAATTTTCTAACAGCAGTGAAATGGTTAATTTTTTAATTTACGACTTCACTGTATCGCTTCCACCAACTATACACTTACCATTTTGTTAAATTAAAATAAAAACGCACAGAGGGCGAAAATTAAGGTAAAAGTGTGTTAAAAGTCGCCAAAGGCACGGTGTTAAAGAATGTTCAAATTTTCCAACAGTGGAGAGAAATGTGAGTTTCAATTTACGACCTCGCTGCATCGTTTCCATCAACTATACCTAATTTACGAACAGCAGAGACACGGTCGCGTTGTTAACGAAGGGAATAAAAGATAGGTGGTATCGGTGTTGTCGCGTTAATTTTGCATCAGCGACGTTCATAGAACTTCCAAGCCAGTACTCACGTTCTCCTGCACCTTCGTCTCGAACATCTCGAATCTGTCGTTGCTCTCGTTCAGGTACTCCGTGCCATTTTGCCAGGTGACGTTCGCCGCTGGTCTCGCTGCTCGTACGGTGCACTGAAGCAGAATCTTCGTTCCTTGCACCACGTGGCCCACCACACCGTTCAGATCCATCTTCAACGGCCGGACTGGAAAAGATGTCGCCGCGTTTAAATATTTAACGTGGTCTCCGGGCAAGCTTGAATTCACAGCAAGCACTCAGAGGTATTTAATAATGCTCCAGTGTATACTGGAGATATTTAAGAACATTTCGAATATTCCTACGTTTGAATTGTTGGATCCTTGAATTTTTCAATTTTTCAGAGTATTTTCATATTTCGAAAATATCGAAGTGCTGAAAAATTCAAGGATTCAACAATTAGTAGTCGAATACTCGAATACTATTATGAAACGTTTGAACCTTCATCATACCTGCCTACTTTAATTTTCATTAGCGCAAATGTGCCAGTTTATTTTAGAGAAGAAAAGGTACGTAATGACACGTTCGACGATTTAATAAAGTTACTTTTAATAAATATGTAACCGATATCGAGCGAATATGGTACTCCCATTCATCGACTCTTGTTTGCGAAATTTTCGCGATACTTTCTGATACAGCTGAATCTTGTATTTACGCCGTACTTTTAATTAAATTTACCCTTTGATATAGATACGCTATATTTGATAGCTTCGGGCCTCTTTCATCTAGAGACAGTATTTTCTTCGTCGTAAATGTTTCAGTAATAGAACTAATTATCTGTGAACCAACACTCATAAAAATGGATTCAAGTAAACGATTCACCGAAATATACCAAAATCTGAAACATGAAGTATTCTAAATCGGCAGAATTTAATTCCTACGTTACTTATTAAGTGTCAAGTGTTATCAAATTAATATGGAACTTTAAATTTGGCAATAATTTCCCTCGCACTCTAACTTCGCAAAGATTCAAATTACTTTAGCTATCCTTGGACTTCTGATAGGAATTTCGTTTATCTACGTATCACCTGAAGCACCGAATCCTTTGAATTTCCCTTTAAAACGGCGCACTACTGACAGAGGGGAAAGAAAACTTGACGAAAATAAACGGTAAATTCTGGGAGAAACGCATTACTCAGGGAATCCAATTATCCTGTTACGCAGACTTGACAGTAATGCAACATTTACTCCTCGCTCTTTTTCATCCAACGTGAACGTGAAGTCGCAACTGATTCATGACACGTTCACCATGCTTGGTACGTGTCGGTGTAGAAGCCACGGACTCATGTACACAAAGAAATATAGCGTCAGACTGAGCCAGCATAGACGATCTAATGTAATATCCAAGCTGATCCGCTGTCTGCATCTTGCATCTTCTACAAGAATAATATAAAGGTGTTGCAAGCTGCAAGGTGAGACAGCTGTAAGGGATGGGGGTGGGAAAGATTGAGAAGCTTCGGGGTTGAATAAAGAGGGAGGGACGATGGGTGGACGAGGAATGTCGGAAAATCAGAAAGTCAAGTTACATCAAGGAATTCAAGGGAAACCTTGTCGTCTCGCACAGATTTTCCATCTTTTTTTCCTGGAATTATTGCGTTCTTCGTGAGAAACGTTACCACGAAGGATCTCTAAGATATGTTATCGTTAATACGGCGAGTCTGGTGATTTCGAAAAGAAATATTTTTATCCTACTTTTTCGAATTAGTTCGGTAAGAGAAATTTCGAAAATTAGTTCTGTCGACGTGTTATCTTTCATACGGCTCTTTTCTTAAATATTTAGCCAAATATGGTAATTTTAAAATTCATATTTTTATTCTATATTTTCAAATTAATTCTACAAGAAAAATTTCGAATTGTAATTTCGATTTATGGAAATTTTATCATTATCATTATCGTTATTAAAATACCCGATCGTTACAGAGAATCAGCGAGCAGAATTATACCTACAAAATTTGTGTACCCTCTCTCGTTATCAAATTTACATTTTCGTCTCGAAGAACAGCTTCAGCTAGCTATTCTACATAAAACTCCCCCCGATACTCGTTCTGCTTCCTATATTCGCCAAAATTCCTCTCTGTTGCATTAAGCATCCTTAAAAGCACTCATCCTGGTACGTGTACTACGATTCACTGTCTCCACTCGACTCGATTTTCAAACTCTTGCACATTTCTGGAATCCTAATTTTCCAAACATCTAAAAATTAAAAAAAAAAAAACTATTTTACCCACGATGATAATACACATCAATAAATTAGCGAGACAATAACGATTCTTATTTTGAATAAATACGTCAAATTTCAGCGGAGTTACGATTATTTAAATTTTTCGCTCCGGCCGTATGCCAAAATTGACCTTTTTTTAACATCCCCTTGTAGACAAAGACATCTGACAGAACTTTCCAGTCATGTTTTCGTTTCTTTCTCGTTAAATATCGTTCTTTCCAATACTACAAGTGAATACTATCTTTACGATACTTCCATCACACATTTGTGTTAGAATTACAGGAAAATCCGTGATAAAGTTCGGGAAAGCGGCTGGAACACGTGCTCGAAAATAGCTGTAACTAAAGGAGACTATCTGAGAAATCGAGTATTGGACTACAGAACGACATATTGGATAATTGGAGAAGCCGAAGTCTGCGATAGACGGGTGGTCAATAAACGAATCAATCGACGTGCGAGCACGTTTTATTTCTACGTATATCGATTACGTTTTCGCTTCGTTTCTCCTTTCACGTCTCTTTTCTTTTTCCCGTGTCGGCTCGATTAAACGGCTTGCCGCTTCTCTGTTTGCATTTATTCGTCCCTCCGTTGTGACAGCGTCCCATTTCGTGTAACTTCAATCGAACAATTTCTCCCTGTAGTTCTTTTCAAGCAAAAAACGTTTTATTACCACGCTGGAGCTACACACACACACGCCTATTGGAATGATCAACGAGGGATCAGGAAACGCGAAAAAATCTCTTTGATAAGGTTATTGCCAATATATGGTTGCGTTTATGGTGGATAAGCTGTTCTATTAGCTTCGTTTGAAAATTAGGAATCGGTATTCCGGAAAGCATCAGACACCAGACATCAGCCAATTGATACACGTCGATTTTAATCAAATTTTCCAGACAGAGTTTTTTTTAGCTGCCGATATTTATGTTTGGCGAGCGAAGTAACAGTGTGAACTTGGGGGTTGGAAAAGTATTAACCGGAATATCTTGGGAAAAAATATTAAATACGAATTCTGTCTATTTTTTTTTTGCAAAGAATAGCCTAATCTAAACGAAATTTAGAATGATAGATCATCGCACTGCTGAAAATATATTTTTCTAAATATTTTCCATGGGACATAATATCCTTAGCAAGTTTTTATTATTGTCATTAGAAATTTTAAAAATTATAAAAAATTCTATGTTGTAAAATCATTCGCTTTGATATTCAATACTGCCTTTTCGTGAAGATCTTTTAAGTAAGATTTACAGCTGGTTCGGTTAATTTGTGAGAAATAAAAATATACAAATAAATCTACTTGAAAAAAGGAACGATCAATAAAAACTGCATATGAAAGACAATCTAATGCCCTGGAATATTATGTTACATTTTAAACAGCGTAATGAAAGATTCAGCTCCTCGAATAATTGCAGTTTACCCTTTATGTTTTCGTATTCATGTTTCACAAGCACGTGGATGCGAAGACAACTAACCATATCCAGTAATAACAACGTTCATGTATGAAAAGCGTCTACTAATAAACGGGAAAACATAGAGTAGAACGTAAAACGGTAAGCAAGAGAATGGAGAACGTCGCGGGAAAAGGGCTCGAAGAGAGAGGCTTTCTCCGCTCCTCACGTTCGCGCGAGTTGTAAAATTTCCAAAGTGGCCGGGGCACGTTTACGTTCGGCCAGACTATCGCTAGATAAATCGTAAAATCAGGCGGGAATTTGGAAAAGCCGCCGTAAAGTTGACGAGCGAATAGAGGAGAGTGGCTTTTCGTCGACGGTGGTGCGTCAGGCCGACAGGAAATGGAGAGAGGAAGTTCCAGATGGAAAGGCCGACTTCTGTCATCCGGCGGCCCGTTTGTGTAATTGAACTGCGACCGAAAACGTGTGACAATTTGCGGATCGCGTTGCACACGACCGCTGTAAACGCTGCTCGTCCGGAAATAAAAGGCCCTCGATGGAAATAAGTCCGAAAATCGCTGGGAAATTCCGCGGCGTTCGCAATTTCGCGCGCGGAACGTCACGGGAACGGGGGAAAAAGAGGCGATCTTTCCGTCCACCACAATTATTGCCGGCTAATCGACTCGCAGAATTGTAGGTGAAAAATAAACGAAATATCAATTTTAGTTTGCAAACTGTTTCGCTTAATGATATGGATGCTCCGTTTACGAAAGTCTACACTTTATCTGCCGATACAATTTTGTGCTAACGTTAACAATTACGCTAAAAATGCTACTTCTTTTTTATTGGAGAAAATTGAAACGAGGGTTGAATGTAAAATAGGTGGTGCGGGTAATAAATGACTTTTATCAACTGTTAAATACCGAAACGCTGTATAATGATGTGAAGGTAAGGCTGCGTGTAACTGTTATTAGGGCTAATCTAATTATCAACTAACAAACAAGCCACGATAATCTCATCTCGCCTCCTTATTGTTAACCACTACTTCGCTTTACTTCTGGCAGAAGATTGATGACATGCGATCTTGCATGTCTAGCAATTTAATTTTAATGAAGTTTCCGATCACGTAAAGGAACTCGAAGGGAAACGGTAATTAAAAGTTTACGTACACTACCGGCCGAAAGTTTGGAATCACTGAGCATTGCAATTTACACAAAAATTTCCAGAAAAAGGTCGGCGACTTTGGGAATTTTCTATCATTCGAATCAATTGGTATGAGATAAATTGATAAAAGTAGAATTGAGATAAACTTCAAATCTATAAAAAATAAGCAGCAGATTTAATATTGATAAAAAGTCGGAGGTGATTCGAAACTTTTGGCCGGGAGTGTAGGAAGCGGTTTCCCTTGAATTCTGGTAATACCGCGAATCAAACACACAAATATCGTCCTACGATAATTAGTTTTTCGGTTTACGCGGTCACGAGAATCTCGTGTCGTGGAAGTGAAGCGCAGAAGTTAATAAAGGGACGTTTCGTTAAGAAACGAGCTGTGAAAAGTAGATG